GGGAGGTCGAGGGGAGCAGGGAGAAGCGGAACCTCGCTCGGAGCTGTCTGCCCCCGGAGCCGGGAGCGGCAGCCCCGGCCGGGGTCCCGCGGGGTCTCGGGGCGCTCCGGGGACCGCGCTGAGCACCGAGCTCGCACCGACGGCTCTCCGAGCTCCGCGACCGCCGGCGGCACCCGCTTCCCTTGCCCCCGCTCGAGACTTTTGTGTCTTCTCTTTGGTTTGGAATTAATTTTCCTTTTTGTTTTTTAATTTTTTTTTTAATTTTTTTTAAGTGGTGTGGTTTTGTTTCGCTTTTTTCCCGTTAAACCGACTCAACAGAGCCCGCTCCGCCTCTCCCGGGGCTTCTCCCTGCCGCCGGCACCGCCGCTCGTTTTGTGCCTTTTCCTCCACCGAAACCCCGTGCCGGAGCTCGGGAAGAAAGAAACAAAAATTCGTTAAAATGAAGTAAAAGGAGTAAAAACCCGAATTAAAAATCCCCCGGCTGTTCGTTTGTATTTAGGCTGAGGTGCGGCAGGAGGCTTTGGTTTGTTTGTTTTCTTTTTCACACCCCCCGGCGATTCCAGCAACACCCGTGGGGAGCGGAGAGCTGGGGCATCTCCTCTTCCCGGCACCTTCCTCGGGCCCCTTTTGCGGGATGGGGAGGAGGGGGAGAAGGAGCCGGGGGTGGGGGGGCCGGTTGGAGGCGTGGGGGCTGCGTGGGGCTTTGTGCGGGGCGGGGGGGCCGCATTGTTCTCTGGAGCTGTGCACACTCACACTCACACTCATGCTCACACTCACCTCGTGTCCCCCCCCGCCCCAATAATACGGAAATTTCCATGTCCCAGCTGCCTTCCCCTTTTAACCTTGGTATTAATTTAGGACGGATCTTTTTAAACAGCCCTATAATGCATTCAGACGCTGCTGGAGGTTTATCTTTTTTTTTCCTACCCCCCCCCCTTTTTTTTTTTTGTACCGTGGGTTATATTTACACCCAAAACAAAATAATTACACTTTTGTTGGCGAGAGAAAGCTGGTGATTAGACTGTGGCTCTTTGCAGCAAACCCTTTCTCAGTGGTACACCAGGACAATTTTTCACGGCTGGGTGAAATCAGACGCGGGAGGTAATGAATCCTGTGAGCTATTTAAATTTACAATTTGTAACGCAGTCACTCAGAAACGCCTATGGCCCGGCGAGGAGATGCTTGCTGGGTTTGTTTAATGTTAAAACCTGCCCCGTCCCCCTCTTACCAGGGGAAAGGAGGGGAGCGCGGGGGGAGCGGCCCCGCGGAGGAGCGCGGAGCGGAGCGGAGCCGCCGCCTCCCACCGCGCCCGGGCTCCGCATCCTCGGGCCGGCCGGAGCCGCCGAGCCCGGCCCCGCTCCGCGCTCCGAGCCCGGCCTGATCGCCGCCGCCTCCGAGCCCCAAAATAGTTGGTAATATCTACAAACTCGGCGGCGGAGCATCCGAACAGATAGATAATTAATTACAAAACACAGGGGGAATATGCAAACCGCGTATTACAAATTCTACAGGGCTTAACTGATTGGAAACAGATTATTATCTTGTTTGTCTTTTGTCTGTTTCACTTATCCCTCTGCCGTCTGTTGTGTTGTAAGTTGATACACTTTATTCTTGAAAGGGGATTTTTTTTTCCTTTAATAATATAGTAAATTCCATCAACATCTTGTGTAAGCGACGCTGCTTCTCCACGCATTACCCTGTTAAAACACAAAAGGTTTATTAGTTACATATAGGCGGTCTTATGGGCCCTGAATTACCATCTGTTACCATGGGGGAATGTGGCTGGGGGGAGTTTCTTGGGGCTCGGGGTGGTTTTTCCCCTCCTCCCTTTCCCCTCGGATTTATTTATTCCTTGACTTTCAAACGAAAAAAGGCGAGGGCGGCGGCGGGGAGCAGGGGACGGGGCGGGGGTCCCCAGCTGGGGACAGAGGGTGGCCGGGAGGGGACCCGCGGGGGTGTGCGAGGCCACGGGAGAGCAGCGAGGCCGCGTGGGGCACAAAAACCAGCGGGGGGCCGCTCCCGGACCCTGCACGGACCATCCCTACGGCCCAGATTATCCATAGGTTTATCCATAGGTTTATCCATGGGTTTATCCATAGGTTTATCCATAGGCGCGGGACGGCGCTGAGCAGCCTGCGGTGGCTCGGGCCCCGCGTGTGCGAGCGCTCATCCCTAGGAGGGGACACGCGTGGATCTCCAGCCCTTCTCCATCCCGGCCTTCCTCCGCCGTGCCCGGGAGGCTCGGGGATCGATGCTCCCGATGATCCGGCCCCGCTCGAGTGCTGGATCCTGCCCCGAAATCCCTGGAGGCTGCGGTGGGAGCGGGCCCCGCACATCCCCGCACCGCTCCGCGCATCCCAAATTCCTCACAAGAGCCCAGGGAATGCCGCAAACTTGGGCACAGCCCTGCGGGAGCGCGGCCGCGATCGGCCGTGGGTCCCTCCTCTTTCCCGTGCCTTCGCCTTTCCTGCCCTTTTCTCCCCTTTTTAACTCGCTGCAGTTTTCATTTCCTTTCTTCTCTCTTCCCTGGCTTTTTTTCCTTCCGTCTTTGTTTCCTTTTCTTCCTCCTCCACTTCCTTGTTCCTTCGCTCTGGCTCTTTTCCTTCGCCCTTCTCTTTTGGTTTCCATTCTCTTCTATTCTCGCCTTTCTTTTTGTTTTTTTATTTCTTTCCTCCGATTTTGTTTTCCTTTTCTCTTCTTTTTCCTTCATTGTTTTCCCCGTCTTCTTCCTTGCCTTCTTTATTTCTGTGTATTTTTTCCTTTCGTTCATTTATTTCTTCTTTCTTTGCTTCTTTGCATTTCTCTTATTTTTTCTTCGTTTTTCTTGGGTTTTCCTGTCTCTTCTTAGTTTCTTCCTTTTTCCCTTAATTTATTTTTCCTCACTATCTCTCTCTTTTCCCTTTTTCTCTTTTTTTCCCTGCATACATTTTCTCTTTTTCTTCCTGCGCTTTTTCTGGTTTTAGTTCCTTTTTCCTTCTCTTTTATTTTTCCTCCCTGATCCTCCTAAATTCCCTTATTTCGATTCTCCCTCTTTCCACAAACATCCCTACACACAAAACTCCACTTCCCGTCGATGCCCTCGTGCCGTGGCGGGTTTGTTGGGATTTTGAGCTGGGTTTTTTTTTTATTTTTTTGGTTTTGGTTTGGGTTTTGGTTTTTTTTTTGCCACTACCAGGAGCATTTCCCAGCGCCACAATGCTCCACAGCCACGGGTTACTTCGGGCTGGAGCGAGGGAAATAGAAAAAAAAAGAAAAGTGTAATTTTTTAATATAAAAATTCAGGGATTTTGGCTAGAGGAAACAACGAAGAATGGGAAGGAAGGTTCGGCCTTCACCTGCCCCGCCGCTTTCCTCCTCCCCGCACGGCCGGACGCCAGGGCCGCCTCATCCCCTCCCGAAATCTCCGGGGAACGGAGGGAGAGCCGCCGACCCTCGCTGGGGCGGCAGCCCCCGGCCCCAGGCTGGATCTTCCTCCCCAAAACCCTCCCCGAGCCCAGGCCGGGGCCGCTCCTTCCCCCGTCCCTCCCGCGGGGTCTCAGCTCCGCCGCACCTGGAATTAAAGAGAAAACTCAGTGCGGGAGGGGGGAGCGGCCGCCGCCCCCGGGACGCCCCGGGCCCGCTCCTCCCGCCGGGAGCGCAGAGAGGGGAAGGGCCGAGGGGCGGCGGGGCCCGGGGGACAAAAGCCGGGGGGGTTCGGGGGGGTCGCATAGCTCCGGGGGAACTTTTCATCCCGCTCCGCTGCGGGAAGGAGCCCCCGGCCTCCTCCCCATCCCCAGCAACCCCTCCCCCCTCCCAAATACACCCCCTCCCTTCTTTTTCCCACTTGTTGCTCTTCCAGACAAAAGCGTCTCTTCCCCTTGCGCAAAACAAATATAAAGCCCCAAAAACCAGGTGATGCTGTCGCCCAGAGCAACTCGGGACCCCCCGACTCCTCCCCGAGCATCCCTTGAAAAGAAACAAACGCCAATTAAAATAAAAACGAAAGGAAAAACGGTGGGCCAGCGGTTTCTTGGCCGTGCCCCCCCGGCCCCCCAGCCAGGTGCGTACTCACTTCGCGGCCCAGGTACAAGCCACCCTCAACAATAGAGGCGCGTTGTTTTTTTCCCTCTGTGCCAAGCACAAGGCTGGAGCCAATTTAGATATGCTATAAATTAAGAGGTTGCCATGGTTACCGCCCTCCCATTGGCCGCATCCCGGGTGACGCTGCCCTCGGCGTCACCAAATCTGAATAAGGATGCGCGAATTACTAAGGCGGGGGACAAAGCTGGCGATGGGGACAGCATGAGAGTGGCGGCGCGGCGGCGGCGGAGCACAGCGAGGCACCGGGGCTGCCGGCTGCAGGGGGGGGTTCATGCACCCCTCCCGCCGCGCCCGCTGCCGCAGAGCCCGCCAGCAGCGCGGCCGCCGCTCCGCCGGCTCCCGGGCCGCTCCGCAGGCACCGGAGGGAGATTTGGGGGGGTCTTTAGTATTATTGTTATTATTATTTCTCGGGGGTGGTTTGGATTATTTTGGGGGGGGACATCGTTTTTTCCCTCCCGTCGTCGAGGCTCCGGAGAGAAGAAGGGGAAGAACTTGACAGCCGCCCTGCTGCCCTCCCCTGAATTTTTTGTTATTCCTTCTTCTATATTTTGTTAGTTTTTGTTTTATTTCATTCTATTTTCTTTTCTTTTCTTTGGTTTTTATTTTTATTCTCCTTTCTTTTCTTCCATTTTAATTTCTTTGATTTCGTTTCATTTAATTTCATTTGATTTTGTATTATTGTTTTTCCTTCTTTTTCTTTTTTTTTTTTCTATTTTATTTTATTTTAACATTATTTTTTGCTGGTTTTTTTTTGTTTGTTTGTTTGGTTATTTTGTTGTTTTTTGGTTTTGGTTTTGGGTTTTTTTTGGTTGGGTTTTTTTGTTGTTGTTTTTTTCTCTTTTATTTTTTTTTTGCCGCCGCCGTGTGCCGGCGCGGGGCTGGCTTCTCCTTTTGAGCGTCTCCATCCCCCGGCGGAGGTTATGATGGTGCATTGTGCGGGCTGCGAGAGGCCGATTTTGGACCGGTTCCTACTGAACGTCTTGGACAGGGCATGGCACATCAAATGCGTCCAGTGCTGCGAGTGCAAGTGCAACCTGACCGAGAAATGCTTCTCCAGGGAAGGGAAACTCTACTGCAAAAATGACTTTTTCAGGTGAGTCCTCACCCCCACCCCAGAGGGGAGCGGAGGGTGCGGAGCTCTTCACCCCTGCCCGCCTGGGGTGTCCCCCGGAGCTTTGGGGGGCTCAAGGGGGTCCCCTCCGGTTTCCCCGCTCGGGAGCAGCCGCCGGCCCGGGGGAGCCCGGGGGGGACGCGGTGGCCGCGCTGCAGCCTGAGGTGGGGGCTGTGCCCCCCTCCCCACCTCCCCATCACCTTCCCCGCCAGCCCCGGGCCCCGCTCCGCCGGTGCCGCCGCCCTCCCCATATCCTCAGGCCTCGGGGGGCACCGGGGACACCCGAGCGCCCCTCTCCGGGCCCGGCACCCCGAGCTCCCCTCCCGGCACCGCAGGCCCCGGTGAGAACGGAGCCCAAAACCTCCCCCCGCACCTCAACAGCCCCTAATGAACACCACAAAGTGCCGGGAGGAAACCAGGGGCAAAGGGGGGGCCGTGACTTATGACTCCTAATGCTCGCACTACATCAACGTCACGGGGAGCAGCGAGGGAGGCACGAGTTGTGCCGCGGCACGAGGGGAAAAAGGGGGGGACCCTGCGTGGGTGCCCCGGGGCCTGGCAGCCCCCAGGGACCTCGGGGACCCGGCTGCGACAGCCCCTGCTCCTTGTTCTGGGGACAGATTTTTTTGTTTTGTGGGATTTTTTTTTTTTTTGGAGGTTGTGGGGCTTGGTTTTATTTTTGTTTGTTTTTTTTTCCTTGTATTATTTTCTTTTTTGTTTGTTCCGTTGGTTTGGGGGGTTTTGTTGGAATTTTTTTGTTGTTGCTTTATTCTGCTGTGGGTTTTATGTTTTCTTCTGGGGATTTGGGTTTTGTTTTGTGGGGTTTTGTGGTAGGTTTTGGTTGTTTGGTTTTGTTTCTTTTCCTTTCTTTTTCCTTTTTTTTTCTTTTTCTCTTTTTCTTTTTTTCCCTCCCCTTGGGAGGTCGTTCCCAGCCGATTCAGATTCCCTGGATTTTTATTTTTTTTTCTTTAAAAAAAGCCAAAACATCTCCCGGGGAAACAAAAACAAAAACTCACCTAAACCCAGACCCTCTCTGGGAAGGAAAGGAAAACGGGAGATTTACAAAGCATTCTTTATGACCTGGAAAAATTCCCCTCGGGAGAGCGAGGCGGGCTTGGGACCACGGGGAGCTTTGGGGAGCACAGCCCCCTCCTCTGCCGCCCGTTGTTCTGATCCCCGCACCCTCCGCTCCCTTTTCCCGTCTCTCTGGCCGCCTTCAGCCCGGTTTTCCCCACGGGATTTTCGGGCCGGAGCCCCGCGTTCCCCTCCCGGGAGGCACCGCCTGAAACGAAATCCTGCCCCGCCGAGTGCCGAGGGGACCCCCGGCAGCTCTCCCCTCCTTCGCGTCCCTTCTGGGGCCAAATCCGGGCGAGGATGCTCGTGTGTGACCCCCACGGGTGGGGACACCTCAAACGCCAGGGCTGCGCGGGGATGAAGGCTCTCCTCATCCTCGCCCCGCAGGTGCGGTTCGCCCTCGGGAGATGCTGAGGAATCAGGATTTGAGGAGGGGGGTTCGGTACAGCGCACACACACAGCCCCCCGCCTCAGCCCATCTTTGCCGGGGCTCCAGCTCTCGCTTTTCTCCCCTTTCCCAGGAGGTTTGGTACCAAATGCGCAGGCTGCTCCCAAGGGATCTCTCCCAGCGACCTCGTCCGGAAAGCCCGGAATAAAGTCTTTCACCTGAACTGTTTCACCTGCATGGTCTGCAACAAGCAGCTCTCCACGGGCGAGGAACTCTATATCATCGACGAAAACAAATTTGTTTGCAAAGAGGATTATTTGAACTCTCCCAGTTTGAAGGAAGGCAGCCTCAACTCAGGTACGAGCTGCTCAGCCCGCCCACCGCTCCGTCGGTTCCTCCCGGCGGCACCTCCCGGCCGGGCAGGAGGTTCGGATTTGCGGGGTGAGGGGCTGCACCCCGCGGCCAGCCCGACCCCCCGGTAATCCGTGCCACCGGCACCGGCAGGAGCGGGCAGCGCCGAGAGAGCCGGGCACGGGCCCCGAGCCGCCGGTGCCTCCCGGCGGAGGAACCTCCCGGCCGGGCAGGAGGTTCGGATTTGTGGGGTGAGGGGCTGCACCCCGCAGCCAGCCGATCCGTCGGGGGAGGGAGTGATTTGGGGAGAAAGGCTTCGAACCGTGCGGAAGCCTCCGTGACACCCCCACGCTGGACGCGGACACGCGTGGGATGAGCTCCCCGCTCCAGCCTTGGCTCCTGCTCCGCTCACGGCCCCTCCGGCAGCGGGGATGCGGGGCGGGGGGGAGCCAGGATCCCCCCAAGGGCCGCCTCGGGAGCCCCTCACTCCCCAGAGCCCCCCCCCGTGTGTGCCCGGTCCCCCCGCGCCGCGGGCCTGATCCTTCGCCTCCTTTCACCCAGAGGCAAAGCTCCCATTTGACTTCCTTGGAAGCTGTCTCTGCGTCAGGAGAGCAGGGCCAGGCCCCCTCCTGCTGTCCCAGCCATGCCGGGCGCCCCTGCTCACCCCCTTCCGTGGGCTCTCTCTCCGTCCAGCACCCGGGGCCGGATCCTGCCACGCCAGTCAGTGGGGCCGCTGCTGTGAGCGAGGCGAGTAGAGCTTGGCCTTGGGGGGGTGCTGGCTGCAGGGTCCCCGGGGGGAACACGGTGGCTGGGGGCGGGGGGCGAGCCAGGCTGGAGCCAGTGACCGGGGACTCCCCAAAATCCCCGACAGGGACCGGTTGCATTTTTTCCCAGTGGCGCATCCCTCTTCCCGGCACGGGGGGTAGAGGGGGCCCGTGGGGGGCAGCGGCGGGGCCGGGGGATCGCCCCCTCCCCAGCTCCCCCCCACGGTGCGCAGGGCTGGAGCGGGCGGCGCTTGCCCGCAGCTCCGCGTGGTGTTGGGGGGGTGATGCTTATGGGGAACCAGGGGGGCAGAGGCCGTCTGCACCCCTTGCTGCTCTCCAGCACCCCCCAACCCCTCTCCTGGAAAGCAGGCGGGCCGGGTGGGCCGGGGAGGACAGAGGAGAGGGGGGTCAATCTCTCCCCTAAGTCATCCACCCCCCACTTTCCTCTCTGGGTCTCCTTTACAGTGTCCTCATGTACAGACAGGAGTTTGTCCCCGGATCTCCAGGACCCCATGCAGGACGACACCAAGGAAACGGACAACTCCACCTCCTCGGACAAGGAGACCACCAACAACGAGAACGAGGAGCAGAACTCGGGCACCAAGCGGAGGGGTCCCCGCACCACCATTAAAGCCAAACAGCTGGAGACCCTCAAAGCTGCCTTCGCCGCCACCCCCAAACCCACCCGCCACATCCGGGAGCAGCTGGCCCAGGAGACCGGCCTCAACATGAGAGTCATCCAGGTAGGACAGGAGAAGGGGCGCCGGTAGGAGCCCAGACAGCTGGAGGCTGTGAGAGTCTCCCCCCGGTGCCGGGAAGGGGTTGGGACACCGGGGTTGGTCCCTCAGGGAACGGGAACGGGCGAACCCCGCTTGTCCCCTGCCAGCGCCACCTCAGGCCCAGCCCCGCAGCCACCCCACGCTCTGGTGGGTGAGGGGGGATCCCCCAGCCCACGGAAGGGGTGGAAATCATTCCCAAAGGGTGAGGCAGCGCGGTTTTGCGCGGCCGAGCAGGATCCCCGGCGTGCCAGGAGATGGATGCTGCAGCCTTGCGGAAGCGAGGAGCATCCGTCCGCTCTGCAGGCAGCCGGCGCTTCCTCACCGCACTGCCCCCGTGAAGAAAATCCCTGCGGAAATGCGGGGATTAATGGGCTTTAATAGAGGCATTAATAGGGGAGGACTCTCCGGCTTTGCCGGTAGCGGAGCTGCGGTTCCCGGCTCCTGGCAGAGGGAGCACAAGTCCCGCAGGAGAGTGCTGTGCTCGTACCCCTGAGCTGCCCCATCCCTGGGGGAGTGAGACAATAATCCAGACGCCCCAAGAAGCTGCTGAGGCGTGCGGTTCGGAAGAGGCAATGCCCGTGGAGAGGCGGCCACATCTCCCCTTTCCCTTTTATTCCCATCCCTAACGCCGGCTGTTCTGACTCCCTGCCTGATGCCTCGGGTGCTCATCCCCCTGCTCCCCGCTTTTTCCCTGCCATGATCCGGAGTCCTATCCCCTTTTTCCTTCCCACGTTTCCTCCCTTCCTTCCCCTATCCATAGGGGAAATTTCCCCCTCCTGCGTTTTCCAGCTGCAGGGACAGAGAAGCTGAGGATGTGGGGATGCAGCCGGGGGAAGGAGGGGCAGGATTTTAAATAACTTGGTTATTTGTGGGCTGCGGTGTCCCCATGTATTTTTTGAGGCAGCAGCAGTAAGAAGGCGGGTCGGTGTCGGTAAAAAAAAAAAATAAAAAATACCCAGATATCGGAAAACCCGTGCGGGTGCAAGATTTCCCCGCGCAGCCTTTGGGGGACGGGATGTCGCTGACCCCGAGGGGTCCGTGCGGGCCCTTCCGCGGTGGGCGCTGACACCAGCCCGGCCACAGGTGTGGTTCCAGAACCGTCGGTCGAAGGAGCGGCGGATGAAGCAGCTGAGCGCGCTGGGCGCCCGCCGGCACGCGTTCTTCCGCAGCCCCCGCAGGATGCGGCCCCTCGGCGGCCGCCTCGACGAGTCCGAGATGCTCGGCTCCACGCCCTACACGTACTACGGAGGTGAGGGGCGGCCCGCGGGGTCCGTGCCCCGTCCCCCCCTCTTCTCCTTTGTTCCTCCCATCCCGTTCTCCGCGGCTTTCCCCCTCTCCCCCCGCCCGTGCTCACACGCGTGCCCGCAGCCGCGCACACGCAGAGCCGGCTCCACGCACCCCCACCCCCCACCCCCGGCATTGCGGGGCCCCTCTCCCGCGAACAAAGCCCCAGCTGCGGGGCTTTTGTCCCCCTTTCAGGCCGCATTTGTTCCCATTACCTCCCGGGCCCGCAGCATATGGAAGGTCAGCGCGGCCCGCCCGTCCCCCCTGCCCCGACGGGACGGGATGGGCGCAGCGGGGCGGCCCCGAGCGCCCCCCTCCTCCCCCAGCTCCCCCCAGAGCCCCCCCAAAAAGCTGCGCTTTCAAAGCTTCCCATCTGACCAGTGGCTTTCCAGGAACCCCTTGTTGCCCTGCACTTCGTTTTTAGATCCCTTCCAAGCTGCTTTAACACATATATTAATTCCAATATATATATAATGTATTTTCCCTATTATATGTAATCCCCCCAATGTACATTTATATTTTCCCATTATATAACTTTTTCCCTTTACAAATTTATTTTTGCCCATTCTTTTTATATCTATCTTTTCCCCATTCCCTTTTCATATACGTATATGTAAATATATGCATGTTAATTTCCCCCCACCCATTAATTAAGCACTAAAAAGAGCCCATTTTCGCGGCACCCTCACCCCTCCCAGCGCGGATTCCCCTCCCTCCGTCCCTCCAGGGTGGGTAAAGGGAGGGTGATGGGTAGTGCAGCGCTTTTTTCTCGGGTTGGGCTCAGATCCCACCCGCCCTTTGGGAGCCAGCGGAGCGTTTTGGAGGGGACAGCGCAGGGCTGCTTTGGGATGCAACGGGATTTCGGGAGGTTTTTATCCCAGGCAGACCCGATCTACCCTTTTTCCTCCCCGCCCCGCAGATTACCAAGGTGACTACTACGGGCCGGGAGGCAATTATGACTTTTTCCCCCACGGGCCGCCCTCCCAAGCCCAGTCCCCGGCCGACTCCAGCTACCTTCAGAACTCAGGACCCGGCTCCACACCCCTGGGACCCTTGGAGCCCCCCCTAAGCGGACACCACTCCTCAGAAAACCAAAGGTACACGGATATGATCTCGCACCCCGACACCCCGAGCCCCGAGCCGGGGATGACGGGCTCTCTGCACCCCATCCCGGGGGAGGTTTTCAGCGGGGGGCCCAGCCCTCCCTTCTCCATGTCCAGCAATAGCGGCTACAGCGGGGCTCTGTCGCACCCCAACCCGGAGCTCAGCGAGGCGGCGGTGTGGTAGGCCCGGCGTGGGCACGCGTGTGAGTGTGTGCAGGGGAAAAACCCCCCCTGATCCCCCCCAGCCCACGCGTGTCCCCCCCTGGCCCCACAGCAGGGCCGGATAAAGCCCCCCCTGCCCGATGCCAAACCGCATCCCGGCGTCCGCCCGTCCTCCCCATCCCCGCTCCTCCCGGGACCTCGGGGCCACCCCGCTACCTCCCCCCTGCCGCCACCTTCCCCCCGACACTTTTTGGGGGGCAATGAAAGGTGCCCAGCCCTGCGGAGCCCGCCGGAGTCGGGACCAGCGCCTCTCGGACCAAAGCTGAACTCGCCGGGACACAGGTCCCACCGCCCCGGCGGCACCGGGGGAGGGGGGCTGCAGCAGGGCTCCCCCCTGCTAATTAGCATCCTTTTTAATTATCCCCTACCGCAGGAAGGGGGGGGGGAATGGGGAATAGCAGGAATAACACCCCCCACCCCCCCCCCCCCCCCCCCCCCGCCACCCCGTGGCCCCTCCCTGCCCTGATTTTTATTGTTCCCGTTTTACCCCCGAGGAGAGGATGGGTTTGGGCTCGGATTTTGGCGGTGGGGAGGAGGGGGCTGTGCGGGAGCCAGGGGCTGCCCCAGTGACTGGCTGAGATTGGGCTCCCGCGTGGTGGAACTGACACCAGAAAGAGGCAGAAACAGGAAAAACACAACAACAGCGACAAAATAAAACCCCAAACAAACAATAAACCCCAGAACAAAACCAACCCAACCACAACAGCAGAAATTTCACCCGAGCCTCGACACCGAGTCCCACCCCAACGATTCCCAGAGGCTCCGCCAATTTAAGGATGTATTATAGTTTTTGCTTCTAGTTTCTTTATTTTGTATAAAGGAGAAACAAATAAAGTATGTTTTTGTGTTTACTGATTATTTATTGTACTTTAGTCATCGGAGGCTCCGAATTTTTCTATTTTGAAGGCAGGGAGGGGATGGCACCGGGGAGGGGGTGAGAGCATAGAGAGAGGGGGGGAAATAAAAGGAAGGAGAATGGAAAAGGAAAGAAAAAAAAGTTGTTTTCTGAAAGCGTCGTGGGTTTCCTGTCCCCGCTGCCTCTTGCGGAGGCTGTTAGTGTGAATGGCTCTTGTTGTTCAATGTGAATAAAAAACCTTTTAGTTACCTACTGTTCGGTCACCTGGTCCCTTTCATTTTATTTTATTTTAATTTGTTTCAACACAAGCCCGTGAGAAATGCTGGCCGGGCTCCCCCACTGTCCCCCAGCCCTGCGTGGGGTCTGGGGGAGCAGCTCCCAGCGCTGGGTGAGTGATGTGCTGCATCCCCCAGCCCAGCGCTCCCATTTCCCCCCAGTCCCGCAGCCCTGTGGCACTGGGAAAGGGGCACATTACCCAGCTCAGCCCCTTCCCCCACAATTCACATGCACAGTTCCTTTCTCCTGGGTCCCAAGACCCTCCCAGAGCAGCTCGGGGGGGACCTGCAGCCCTGCTGGCAGAGCAGCCCCAAGGGGCAGCCTGGGGGGGACACCCCAAGAGGGGGTTCAGCAATGCCAGCAGCAGCTTTTGCCCCGTTTTCCCTGGCCTCACTGGTGGTGGGAGCGGGGGGTCTCCTCCCCAGCACCCCAACTCACTCCCCTTCTCTCTCCTGCTTTCTATCCCTTGAGACAGAAAAATAAAAAGTCCCAGGCAGGCTGCAGCTCTGAACTAATATTTAAAATGCAAAATCATGGCAGAGTTTCTCACACACACCCCATCCCCCCCCACCCGCTCCTTGTCTTGCAGTAAAACGATATAAACAGAATAAATTACCTTCCCTTGCTGGCTTACGAGAGTCCCTCTCTCCTGACCTGAATTTTAAGTCCTGGCTCGGTTGTAGCACGGAGCACCGATGATTTATGGAAAGCCAGCCACTTCTCTGCATATTTTCTCTGTTCAGCCAAGTGGTGGAATTTATCCTTCCTATACCATTACTGGCATTAATAACGGGGTGGCCAACGAGGCAGGCAGAGCCCCGAGGGAGCCCTCAGCCGGGAGCCAGCAGGGACACACTGGTGTCCCCTCACCCCCCAAGAAAAACACCTTCTCCCCTTCTCACAAATGGGGAAACTGAGGCTGGAGCACAGCCGGCCGCTCCCCTGGGCTGCAGCGCTTCCAAGCTGTCGGTGTTAGCAGGTGATGGGGACTTCCTATAAGGACAGGGCAGTGAGCTGGCAAATAACCCACTCACAGCATCATTTTGAGGAGAATGAAATGCTCAGTCACTGGGTGAGCACTGGTGGCTATTATTATTATTATCATCATTATTATTAATTCAAAATCCAAAGCATAGAGCTGGGGGTTGTTTTTAGGCTGCTGGGACACCCCCATGTTGGGGACCTGGGCAGAAGAGGCTGCAGGAGGGATTGGGGATGGTGCTCCAAGCTGCCACCTCGCAGGAGGATGGGGCTCAGCAGGAACAGCCATCACAGCAGGGATGATCCCAAGGAATAATCCCCTGGCACAGAGGAGCTCTGCAGCTCCAGGCTGGGTGCAGGAGCCAAACCCGGGCTCCCCATCACCGCAAAGGTCCCGGCAAGGCAGCAGCACTCAGGATTCCTGCTCGTCTCCAGCTGCAGAGCCACCAGAGGTCACCAGCTGGGGCCGTGCCACCTCCCAGGGGTGTCCCCAGCCACCCCACACCTCACATCCCTGCCGGGGACATGAGCCCAACACCCCCAGCTGGCACCCGAAGGCCTCAAGAAGGCAAGGAGGGGAAAAGCTCCCTGTTGGGGTGCTTGGGGGAGTCACCCCAAACCCCACAGTCACGCCCATGTCACCACCAGCACTGACCTTTCTGTGGTTCCGTGCTGAGGAATCACCATCGTGAGCTCCTGACCCACCCCCGAGCAGAATCGCGGGAATAAATTCCTTTTTAAAAGCTGTTGGGCAAACACCAGCCCTATTCCTTTTTTGTTTGCTGGCTTTTTTTGTTTTTTCTTTTCCTGACCTTCTTGCCTTTTTATTTTTTCGGAAGGGGAAGGTCTGCAGAAGGTGGAAAGTAATCAGGTTTTGGACCTGGGATAAAAAATAGCTGGAGTAGGCTGGGCTGACTCCTTATAATTAATAGTGTGCCTCGTAATAGGATTCTCCAGCCTTCGGTGCTCCCTGGAAACACCTTTTTACATAAGATATTGCTCACGATGGAGTGGCAGAGTTTTGATTTATGGGGGTTTGGCCTCCTCCAAGCACCTGGGGAGGGGGCCTGGCCGGTGGGGGGCTTAGGGCAGGGAGGGGTTCCAGCCAGCTCAGGGGAAAGGGCTTTGTGCAGGGATGGGGGTGAGCTGGTCCTGGGGCTGACACCCTTCTGCTCCAAAAAAGAGGCTGAGAGGGGTTTGGGGACAGCAAGGGGCTTCTCTCCCTGTGCACAGGCCCACAGGGGAACCAGGTGGGGCTGGGGAGCACCAGCAGGAGCAAAACCCCGCATCACCCGGAGTGGGAGGAAGGAGAGGGGAGAAATGTTGGGAGGATACAGAAAAACCCCAGGAGGCGCCACAGCAAAGGGCTGAAAGCAAACATAGAGCTGCAGAATGGAAATGTAGGAGAGCAGGAAAGCCTGGGGGAAAGGGAGAATGGGGAAAAGAGTGGGATGGGGGCGGAAAAAAGGGATCTTCGGGGGTCTGGGATGGGGTAGCACCTCGGAGTCCGCAGGTGCTAAACCCGGCCGGGGATCCCCGCGGATAAATCACTGTAACAAGAACTGTGTTCTCGTCTGGCCACAGCCAATGTGGCAGGAACGGGAGAAGATTGTATTAATTAATAATCATTACAATAATAACGCATAAAGTCAGTAGTAAAGTAATTAGTCAGAGAGGGAGCGTTTGCTAATTGAGGTGGGGAGCTGCAGCCCAAACAGCCCGGGGAGGAGCAGGGGCAGGGAGGAGAGGGGGGCGGATGGTTGTAGGGAGGATAGAAGTGGGATGTGCGGACCCCAGTCCTGCCCTCAGCACGGGCACCACCCTGGCTCCACCCTGACTCAGTTTCCCCATCCGTGCATGGGTGCCGTGTGCTGGAAAAGGCTGCGTGAGGAGCCCGGCCCCGCGTCCCCGGGCTTTATTTCGGTTCTTTGGGAAGGAAAGCGAGCGGAGCGCGGCAGCCGGGCTCTGTCACATCCCGTGCCCGGGCCGGGTGTCACTGCATCCCCAGCTGGCTCTTCAGGTCCCGCAGCTGGCCCGTGTGGATGTTGCTGCCGCCGCACACCACGAGCAGCACGGAGCCCAGCGGGGTCCGCAGCCTCCCCTGGCTCTGCAGCCGCTGCAGCCGGCCCGAGTAGAGCACGGCCAGCGGGGCCCCGCACGCCGGCTCCACCAGCATCCTCTCGTCATCTGCGGGGACCGCGCACGCACTGAGAGCTCGCCCAGCAGCCCCAGAGACCCCCAAGGTCACCCCCGCTCACCCAGGAACTGCTCCACGGCCCGCACAGCCTCCGTGTCCTCCACCACCTGCGAGATCACCTGGCACTCCCGGGCACACTCCAGCGCCCGCGCCGCCACCGTCTTGGCTCCCAGGCAGGTGGCCACGCTGGCACAGGAGGGGACGGGGCGGTCAGGGCGAGGACGGCTCCGTGAGCCCTGCCAGCTCGCTGCTCGCCCGGCTGCTCACCTGGTGATGTCGGGCAGGGTGACGAGCCGGCCGGCTTTGAGCGCCTCGTGGAAGCTGTGAGCTCCCTGGGTCTCGGCGGCGATGATGGGGACATCCTGCCAGCCCACCTGCTGCAGGCCGGCCACGACACCGGCCAGCAGCCCCCCGCCACCCACCGCCACCACGATGGCGCCTGGTTTGGCCTCCAGAGAGTCCTTCAGCTCCCGGACCAGGCTGGCGTGGCCCTCCCTGCAGGGTGAGGGGCAGCGGGATGCAGCCTGGGGGCTCCCCGGGCTCCCTGGATCCCGGGGATGGGGACCGGGGGCAGGAGCCGAGTCCTGGCTGCACTCACCACACCAAGGGGTGATCGAAGGGGTGGATGCTGACCCAGCCCTCTGTCTCAGCCAGCTCCTGGGCTCGCCTGTTGGCATCGTCCCACACCTGCGTGGGGACGAGGGGGCTCGGCAGGGCTCCACAGAACCCTCAGAACCCCGGGATGGGTCCCTTGTCACTGCGGGGCTGGGGGACACCAGAACGGGTGAGGGCTCCCAGGGTGACCCTGCCGTGCAGGGGATGCGGCAGAGGGGAATTTTCGGGATGGGGTTTTTGCCAAGCACCAATGAGCAGGTGAGGTCAGGCTCAGCCTCCTCTGGACCCCCCCTAGACCTCACTTTTGGGGGTACCTTGCCGTAGACCTCGACTGTGGCCCCCAGTTGCTCCAGTTTGCGGGCGGGGGTGGGGCCGCTGCTGCTGGGGAGCACCACGGTGATGGGCAGCCCCAGCTGCCGGGCCGCGTACGCTGCCGCCAGACCCGCGTTTCCTCCTGCCAAAAGTGGTGGGGTCAGGCAGGGCTCGACCCCCTGTACATCCCCAGATTCCTCAGGAGCATCCCCCAGCTCGCGATGGATTCACCTGAGGAGATGACGAAGCGGCGGCAGCCCTTCCTGGCAGCCTGAAAGGCAGGAGAGAAAGAGGGGAGGGGGCGGCCGTGTCCCCCCCCTGTGACCCCCCTGCAGCCCCCTGCGCACACCGTGCCCACACTCACATCCTGGCACCGGTGCCCGATGCCCCGGATCTTGAAGGATCCCGAGGGCTGGACGTTCTCCAGCTTCATGAAGACCTTGGTGCCCACGGCCTTGGAGAGGGGCAGGCTCTCCAGCACGGGCGAAACGACGTGGAAGGGCTTCTGGCCCCCGACAGGCTGGTCTGCCATGGCCTGACCAGGATGTTCTGCTGGGGAGAGGAGCTGGAGTCAGCAGCTGCTCCCCACGGATCCCCCCGCAGCCCCGATGCCCTCCCCGGGCTCGGTGCGGAGCACAGGCGGCTCTCGGGAGGGACAGGGCTGTCCCCAGTGTCCCCTCCCATCTCTAGGATGCAGCGGATGGAAGATCCCAGGACAGGCTGTGCCACCCCCTCCTCCATCGCCACAGCCGCCCCTGGTGTCGCCAGGTGTCCGGTGCTCACCCTGTCCTGTCTCCCGGGGTGGCGATTACCTGGTGTCCCCCGGGACCCCGCTGCGTGTCCTGACCCACCGCCGAGCCTGCGAACACGAGGGGGAGAGCGAGGGGCCGTGCCGGTGTCCCCAGCTCCCACGGGGCACGCAGCAGGACAAGGGGCAGGGCTCAGACATTGCCCCGGGGCCGCTGTTTGCTCAGCCCTGGGCGGGTTTTAGAGGCACTGGAGCGGTGCCGAAGGCATGGCCGGGCACGCTGCCGGGTGACACGGGGGGACAAACACGTGTGACCCCTCCAGCCAGATCCCTGCAGCTTTCACATGCCCGGGAGATGGGCTGTGGGCTCCCAGGAGATGGGGGAAGAGGAAAGGCGGCTCGCAAATTGTTCTGGGGGACCTCAAGGGTTTGCTTTGGGTATTATCAGGTCTGGGTAGAAACACGGAGCAGCAGACTTTAGGATTTTGCCCCTGAACCCCTGGCTGGTGGAGCCAGGGCAGCCTGCACATCCCAAACCCCCAGCCAAGACACCTCTCATTGCCTCCAAATGAGCCATCACGCCCCTCTGCTCACCCTGCCAAGCCCCCACCCCACAGCAGCCCTTGAATTGTCTCCAAGCTTCACATCCCAGGGGGCTCAGCCACATCCAGCCCGGGATGTGCCCCTCCCAGCTCCAGCTGGCCGTGCCAGGCACTCCATGGACAAGAATCACCCCTTAGAGAGGGACTGGCCCAGCCCCAAGGTCTGGCAGCCCCCAGGCAAAGCAGGGAGAGCCCCCTCCTTTCCTCTGGGAGCCCTCCTTGTCACCCAGCCCCGGTGACACCCCCAGGGTAAAAGTCCTACCTCTGCACTGAGGGGCTGGTTGTGTCCACAGCAAGCAAGGAGGAGGAAGGTGGGATCTGGAGGAAGGCCCAGCCCTGGCCCGCAGCCCCGCAGCCGCAGAAGGTTCCTCTGCTCCTCTGGCCAAGCTGAAGCAGCCTGGAAGCAAAGGGCACAAGGAGTCCCGAGGGGGAGACACTGCATTGGAACAACACACCCCAAACAGGGTGCACTGGGAACCCCACACCGTGCCCGGTTCTGCCCCAGTGCCAGGCAGACAGCAGTGAGACCAGAATACGGGATTTTGGTCCCCTGACCCAAACTGTGCCCCAAACCCCCCACAGCTGGCAGGCAGCGAGCAGGGGGAGAGCTCTGGAGCAGCCCTGTTCCTGGTGGAGCTGAGCTTTGGTGATAACAAAACATCCCTACTTCCCATACCAACCTTGAGCTCCTGAGTAACCAGCACAGAGCACAGCCCTGCACCAGAGCCACGCTGCTTTTGGGACACGGGGACCTGGGAAGGAGAGGAATGAGGAGGGTTTCTTGAACGGAGGCATCACAGGGAGGCACAGCTTCAGTCCCGCTGGGGCCCTTTGGAGCGATCCCCCCATCACCTCACAGAAGGCAGAGACTGCAGCCACTCCCACAAGGGTGGGACAGGAGCAGGAGATGGGAAAGAGGTGCAAGAAGCCTCACAGGGCTGAGGTTGGAGACCCCCTTGGGGGGGACACCACATTTCAGCTCAGCCCTGGGGTGCTCCAGGGTCCCTTTCCACCCCATACCCACCTCCCTGTCCCTCTTCTGCTCCCCTTTGGCTCCATCCCTGCCGTGAGGAAGGCATGCCAGGCTGGCACCTGGTCACTTCCCTTGGCCAGGGTCCTTGGCTGACACTGTGCCAGCAGCTGGGATGATATTTAACAACTTTTTGTTTGTTTTTCCACTTTCAAGGAAACAAGGGAATCAGCAACACCGCGGTATTTCCAGTGTGCCCTGCTCCTCCTTGCTGCTCCCTCACCCAGTGACAGTGATCTGCCAGGGGAAACTGAGGCACAGGGACCCCAAAATCAGCATCCCCCCTTCCACAGTAGCCCACATACCATGGGGGCACAAGGAGACACAGGCTCTGCCATCCACAACTTACCCGCAGTGTGTGGGGTATGGACACCCCACCTTCCCCAGAGCACCCATCCCAACTTTCGGGGTGCCAGCACCCCAATAGCCCAGCCCTGCTCCCTCCCACCCCCCCACAGCTTCCAGGGGCCCCTAGTCCCGGTGGGAACCTGGCGCCTTCAAAGCGCTGCCGAGCCGCAGCTCATTAATCCCCCGGTAATGACCTCGTTATTCCTAACGAGGCAGAGCGGATCAAGGGAGCTGCCTAAGAGGATTTTGCACCGCGGGTTTTGGGGACGGGGGGCACACAGGTGCCAGAGGAAAGGAAGACAAAAGGCATGAGGATGGTCTCCCACTCCCGGGGGCTGAGCAGTGGGGCTCCCCCATTCCAGCAGCAGAGAACCCATCACAGCCTGCACCCCAAAAGCCCCAGCCTCACTGGCCACACACCCTCCCACCTGCAGAGATGCAGCTCGTCCTGTTAATGGGGAGGGGGCGAGACCCCTGCGTGAGCCCAACCCTAACAGAAGCCACCAGAGAACCTCAGCAGAGAGCAAAGCACAGCCACCAGCACAGAACACTTTATTTACCACAGCCAAACCAGCTCACTGCCCTCCTGGCTGCACCGAGGTGAGCCCCAGCCTCCCAGGACACCCCTTTTCTGGGAAAAGCCCCCCCAGACCAGGCATCAGCACCCAGGGAAAGGTCCAGGGATTGGAGAGCCCCATGGCAGGGAGGGGACACGCTGAGCTCAGCCCCTTGTGCAGCACAGCCAGGACCCTGAGAAGCAGGAAGAACAGGGAGGGTGTACTCCAGAGCTGAGACCCCCCCACACCCCACTGCCCCCACAGAGGGATCCCCCACGGGACAGACGCCCACGGATGGACGGACGGACAGACAGGACCAACGCCTGCTCAGTCCCAGTGGACCTTGACTGGGGGGAAGGTCCAGAGGTCGGGGTGGCCCATGTGGAGCAGGGAGCTGCAGGGGGACGTGCTCCAGCGGAAGGGGGGCACATCGTCCCAGGCGGGGCCGCTGACTGCCACCAGCCCGAAGGTGGGGACCATGCCCGAGGAGGTGACCTGCAGGTGGGGACACAAAACAGCGAGTCAGCACCGGGGATGGGCTGCACAGCCTGAGAGCTGCTGGGGGAGCACCCCCAAGGAGGAGCCCCTCCAGGGCTGCCCGCTCCCACACCTTCATGTCGATGCCGCCGTGGCAGCGCTGGCGCAGGGCAGGGAAGGGGTAGGTGCCGTTGGAAGGGTTGAGGTCGGAGCGGGCGGAGATGGCGTTCTCGGCGTTCTGGGGGGGGTCGCAGCCCCTGCACCGCGACAGCGGGTCCTGCAGGTAGTTGTTGGACCTGCAGAAGGGCCAGGAGAGAGCCACGGTGAAGACAAGGAAAAAGCCCCTGGATGACAGAAAATTCCTTGGAGGAACAGGCGGGTCTGGGAGTCCCCTGCACACACCGCATCAGGCGGATCATGGAGTCCAGGTCGTGCACCAGCGACTGGTTCCGGCGGAAGATCTGGGCACGCGGGTTCTTGTCATAGGTGAACCAGTCACCGTATTTCCTCACCAGCTCCTGGTTCCCACTGGCGTTGAAGATCTCCTCAAAGTACCTGGGGTGGGGGAACCCAGCAAGTTGGCAACTGCTGCCCCTCTTTCCAGGGCAGGCCATGGGGAAGGGATGGCACTCACGGCACATTGTAGCTGGCCCAGTAGCCCTGCTGGTACAGCAGTTCTGTCTGATCAGCCACCACCACCAGGCCCCTGTGCTGGGAGGAAGAACACTGGTCAGAGCAGAAGAGGAAAAAGCCACTGGGGATAGTGGGGGACATGCTGGGCTGTGGGGAACCCACACTGAGGTCCCCACTGTGGAGTTCCCACCCCAGCCAGAGGCGCTGGGCACCCATCACCTCACTACCAGCATCCCCACAGCCACAGACACACCCCACCGCCCTGTGACCACCCACTGGGCTGGGCAGGCACCACCCTCAGGGCTTTCCCAAAGCCACAGGGATGGGAGAGGAGACAGCAGGGGCTCAGGGAGGAATGGAGCCACTCACGGGATCTGCTCCAGCACTGTCAGCACGCCCAGCGCCGGGCTCGCCCTGCCCGGTGTGAAGGCGTTGTAGTCCACCACCATCCACTGGTTGTTGTACCTGGCACGGAGAGCAAGGAATGCGTCCCTCTGGCAGCCTGGGCACCCTCCATCCGATCCCACAGCTCCAGGACCAATTCCCAGGCCCCATCCCACCCCACTCACGTGCCGCTGTTGAAGCGTCGGAAGACCGTGGCCCACTCGGGCCCGCTGCGGGCCAGCCGGTTGGCCACGATGTTCCTCAGCCACTCCAGGACACTGCCCCGGGGCTCCAGGTACTTCCACAGGGCCGGGTTGTTGTTCCCAATGGTGGTTTCCAGCGCGACCTGCAGGGCAGGGAGTGAAGGGGAGGGCAGCAGGGCCGGGGAGAGGTCCCTGAGGACCAGACCCACTCACCAACCCACTGCTGAGGACGTAGAAGTCATCCATGGAGAAGATGGTGCCAGGGTAGGAGGAGAACACCTGGACGCTCCCAGGGATCTGAGACTTGCCTGGAGGGGGGGGATGCAGAGCATCAGAAGGGGAGTGTGAGGCGCAGCCCCCCCAGCCCAGCGCACGCACCGCCGGCCGAGGTGCGGAAGGGCAGCGTGTATTTCTTGATGATGCGCAGCATGGCCTGGTAGGAGCTCCAGGTGTCGTGGGCCACCAGCAGGTCCTGGTGGCCTGGCAGCAGCTTCACGAGAGCCGAGCAGGAGCCCGAGCCCAGGACACGCTGCGGGAAGGAGCGGTTCAGGGCAGACTCTAGGTCCTCCAGGTCACCCCCCAACTGCAGCAGCCTGGGGGGGTAAGCAAGGCGTAAGATGTCAGGTGAGGGACGCCCCAGCCCTGGAGCAGAGCTGGCTCAGAGCTCTGTCTGTCTGTCCGTCTCTACCACACCCCAGTGCAGGCACTTGTGCTGGGAGCACCCTGGTGGCATGAGCAGGGAGGAAAGGGGGAACACAGCAGTGGGGAAACTGAGGCAGGGGCTGTAGCGGGGAACCCACCACCCAGCCCATGGGGTGGGGAAGATGACAACCTGCCTTGGCTCCATCCTGCCCCAGCAGAAGAAGACAAGCGGCCAGAAAAGGTGGACAAAGTGGGCTGGGAGTAGAAC